CTCACTCTCTCTCTCTCTCTCTCTCTCACACTCTCTCTCTTTCTCTCTCAAACTCTCTCTCTCCTCTCTCTCCTCTCTCTCTCTCTCACTCTCTCTCTCTCCCTCACTCACTCAACCTTTCCTATAATGATTACATCTTTTTTTCTTTTTCCAAGTATTTTTATTTGCAACATTTTGTTGAAGTCAAGAATGGTTGTCACAAAATTAGAAAAAAACAAAAAAAAAACAACAACAACAACAAGACAACAATATTATCAGTCTAAACCAAAATAAATCATCCTTCGGCGCATTGTAAGACACATTTGTATGCCAACACACACACACATACACACGCAGTAAAGTAAAGTAAAGTAAAAGTAAGGTAAAGTAAAGGACCCCTTTCCACGACTTTTAGTTGAATAGGGCTAGACCTATTTTTTAAAGACCAACGGCACAAGATGGGTGATGTGGTCAGCATCACGCCGATCGCGTTTACTTCCCAGGACTGCACCTGGTACCCATTCAAGGCTAGGTCAATTCCTAGGTCAATTTCGAAAAAAGTCCGGGTCCGCCAGGGAACGAACCCACGACATTCCGATCCGCAGGCAGGCATCTAGCCGCTACGCCACGGCAACTCCCACACACACAGAGTCGGCAATCAATTTGAGCATGTTGTAATGTATATGTATGTTGAGTGTGCTTGATGTTGAACAGATGTTTATTGATCTGCAAATTCTATTGTTCCTAACCTTGTGTATTGCACTGGTATATATTAACACTGTCCTGTATTATGTAATGTGTGAATGGGCTACATAGACCTGTTGTAGCACGCTTACATGTCTGTTCTGTATTATGTAATGTGTAACAGGCTATATACACCAGTTCTAGCACGCTTACCTGTCTGTTCTGTATTATGTAATGTTTAAATTAGCTACATACACCAGTTATAGCACGCTTAACTGTCGGTTCTGTATTATGTAATGTGTAAATTGGCTATATACACGAGTTATAGCACGCTTACCTGTCCGTTATGTATCATGCAATGTGTAAACGACATCACAGCACAGGCTTGGCTGTCCTCTATTATGTAATGTGTAAAGGACGTCACAGCACAGTTCTAGCATACTTGCCAAGCTGTCCTGTATCATACAATGTGTAAATGGGCTACATACACCAGTTATAGCACGCTTACCTGTCTTCTTCTTCTTCCTCTTCTTCACGTTCACCAGCTATAAACCCTGGCAAAAAGTTCTGGTTGTTCATCCACTCCTGGACTGCAGTCCTGTTCCAGAACTTGAGTGCTGGATGAGCGTCCCTCTTACAGATCTGACTATCTGCTTATATGTCTGAAATGTATTATATAATGTTTCAAGGACATCACAGCACAGAGTTAGCACGCTAGCTTAGCTGTCCTGTATTACGTAATGCAAGAAAGGGGTCACACATAATATGCCTGACACGCTTGACTGCTTTCCCTGTAGTAATGAGTTCAAATACTGTCAAGGTTGGAATATAATCAAAAATGCGCATGACCTGCGAGGTCCACAGATTACCACTGGTCTTGGAAACATCCAGGGAAGCAAATGGAAGCGACATACAATTGAGAACAACAACTATTCAATGCCGATTGCTCGAATGTGCTCGTATTAATAACCTAGCGTCATGTGCCGAAACAGTTCGCGACGTGCACAGTAGACGCTTTCTTCTTCTTCTTAAAGTCCATGCCGTGTGGCTTTGGTAGTCACGTCTACCCACACCTTCTGTCTCGTATACTTTCAGTCTCCTTTGACTCAGACGATCCTCCATGCCATGATGTCAAGCTGTCCAGCATCTTTTTTCTCGGCCTAGTTCTACCCCTCCTCCCCTCCAAATTTGCCCCCGTCACGATCTACTACAGTTTTCTCCTTTTCAGGTCATGACCAGAGAATGTAGACCATCTCATTCTGATTTTGGAAATAAGTTCTCTTCGTGAGTTAGTTTCTTTCAAGACATCTTCATTAATCTTGTTATCTGTCCAGGATATTGTCATTATAAGTATAAAACCACATCTCCGCAACTTCCAAAAACATTTTCACTACTTAATCAACTATCCAGATTGAATTCCATATATCAATGTATGATTTATATAGCTTTTAATAATGCCTTTTCTCGTCTCAATTGTCAAAGACAGATTACATAACATATTCTTCATTTGGTAAAATCCTGCATTTGCTCGAGCTATCCTACATTTAACTTTTTTTAGGACATCTTCTATCTCATGTTATCAGGGTACCAAAATACTTCAACAAATCCACTTGCCTGATCCACTTGTCCCAGTTATTTTGATATTGCATTTTGGAGGGTAAGTTTTTTTTTAAAATACCACTACTTCTGTTTTTCTGCTGTACAAACTAAAACCCCTGGTTTTCGCTGTCTGTTACGATTATATCCATCATTTCTGGAAGTTGTGTTTTATTTTCAGCGATCAAATCCATATTGTCACCGTATCGCAGATTATTAACAATATGCCCACCTGGAAGTGTATCGATGGAAGCACTAAGACATAAAACCCGCCATTTTTCTCCGTTTTCGGCTTCCTGTGTGATATGATAGCTTATTGCTGTCTATTTCTTCATGTTCTTATTTGCCCTCCTCTTTTTTGACTACCTTCCAACGTTCTTCGAAGTACAGCTAGCTTGTGACGTTTCACCACTGCCAAGAGAAACTCTTGACATTCTGCAAATTTGTTTATTTTGTCTGATATATTTATTAGTTTAGGTTCGGAATGAATAATTCGTACAATTCCTCTACAGCATTTACATTCAAAATCCTGTATCCTCCTTTCCATTTCCACAGTAAAAGTCCAAGTCTCACATCCGTAATGGACGGTTAGTAACTGATGATGAATGAAGTGACATCGATATAGATTAGAGAATATGAAGAGCTAAAAAATATCTTTAATGCGAAAATAATTGAGAGACAATGACACGAACAAAACGTTAAAACAATAAGCATCATCAGATAATACGTATACCCAACAATGCTGTATATCGCAGAAATTTGATCCTATAAACTGGCAACAAGAAATGAAAAAAGTTTATAGCGATGTAGATATACTGAATATTAGTTCGTATTCCATGGAGACAGAAGCGATCAAATACAGAGAGATTTTTGTGAGAGGGCCAAGGAAAAGAGACTTACTGAAAGCAAGGCTTTCTTGTCCTTCTTTGTGTTCATCGGCTGTAAATTCCGGCGAAAATTTCTGGTTGTTCGTCCATTTCTCGACCTGACATGTTCCAAAACATAAGTGTGACATGTACATCCATTTTACAGATCCGACTGATTTGTATGCAGACATCGTTCCTGGCCTCTCAGGCAGATGCCCTCCTACTTCTAAGGAAGCTCCCAATTAGTAGACTCTTACGACATGTATAGGCAGTGGGTCTATTCTTGGTTTCCCCACAACGGGGATCCAGAACCCACGCGGGGAGGATCAGGGATTTTTATTCTAGACAAATGAATTTGGTACACACCACAAACTGTCTAAAAAGGTTTCGATACTCATCACAAAGTGTCTAAAAACTTTCGATACTTACCACAAAAGTTTCTGAAAAGGTTTCGATACTCACCACAAAGTGTCTAAAGAGGTTTCGATACTCACCACAAAGTTTCTAAAAAGGTTTCGATACTCACCACAAAGTGTCTAAAGAGGTTTCGATACTCACCACAAAGTTTCTAAAAAGGTTTCGATACTCACCACAAAGTGTCTAAAAAGGTTTCGATACTCACCACAACGTTTCTGACAAGATTTCGATCCCTACCACAAAGTGTCTAAAAAGATTTCGACCCTCACCACAAAGATTCTAAACATATTTCGATAATTACCGTAAAGAGGAAAAAAATGTGCTGGTACTCACCACAGTGTCCATTACAGTATAGCTGACAAAAATCTATGCCTAAAGAAGAGTGCCGGTACTGTGCTGAAAAGAAAGGGAGAGGGGGGGGGGGTGAACAAGTGATGTTGTACAGGCATTTTTGAAATGCATACAACTCTTTTAAAAACTAAAGCAAGAGGTAGACAAGTATATAAGTGGGAGGACCAAATTAAGATATGGACGAATACCAATTTGAGTGTGAACATACAAGTCGGAAGACAGACAGTGCAGGAAATTCATTGCAGCCAACCTTTATTGTTTAGACGGTAACCGATCGATGTATTGGCTGATATCGGTCATACTACAGTAAATACTTCTTCAATTGATAACGTCATTCATTACTGGACAATTACTGCTAATACTTCGGCCTTCACTATATCCACAGCAGCAGAAGTAGCAGCAACAACAAACAGACTCAATAATCTTATTTTTTTAAAACCCCGACAATAGCAACAAACACTGCTGCTGCTGCTGCAACTGCCACTGCTACTATTTCTACCTTTACTACTATTGCTGCTGCTACTAATACTACTACTACTACTGCTACTGCTGCTGCATCTGCTACTGCTACTGCTGCTGCTTCTTCTATTGTTATTACTATTGTTTTGTTACTATTGCTACTACTGCTGCTATTAATACTGCTGTTGCCACTAATGTTTCAACGACTACTACTACTACTGCTGCTGGTACTAATACTGCTGCTGCTACTGCTGCTGCTGCTACTGCTGCTGCTGCTACTGCTGCTGCTGTTACTGCCACTTCTATTGCTACTACTACTGCTGGTGTTATTACTACTGCTGCTACCACTGATACTACTACTACTGTTGTTACTGCTGATGCTGCTACCACTAATTCTGCTACCACCACTACTACCACCACCACTGCTACAGCTACTTGAAATGCTGATGCTACTACCACTACTGCTATTACTACTGCTGGTGTTATTACTACTGCTGCTATGACTGCTACTACTACTGTTATTACTACTACTGCTGCTACTACTGCTGCTGCTAATGCTAGCTAAATGCCTACAGGTTTTCTACATACTTATGTAGTGTATATGCCTTTGTCTAGGTGATGTTTTGACAACGTATAGACATAGACACAATGGTCAGCACTCGAACAACCTATATCTTGTGGTTCACGCTTGGCTGGCTGGGCATCCATCATCTCTACCTGGGCAGGTTCTACCATGCATTTGTCTGGTTTGCCACCCTTGGGGGAGGTTGTGGTCTCGGCTGGATTCGAGATGCCTGGAGAATACCCGCCTACGTCGAGTGGAGTAATCCGGACAAACAACAGCGAAAGAAATACGCTCAGAGGTAATCCTTCTGACTTTTTAAATATCTTTTTTTAATATCTTTTGTATTTGATTATTCTTTCTTCATTAACTTATCCTTCTTCCAATTCATTATCTACGACCATAAACACTACTTCCAGTAATAATGCCATTACTGAAACAACAACTACTAGCACCTTCACTATATCCGCAGCAGATGCAGAAACAACAAAAGTAGCAGTTACAACCATTCACAACCCCCCCCCCCCCCCCTTGCCCCACCCCCGAAAACAAAAATAAACGATAGTAACAACAGCAGCAAACACCACTATTCTACTAATCTACTCACTTAGACTGATACCTTAGCGTACAGCTCGTGGAAATCTTCAAATGCCGTGTAACTACTTGTGTGAGGGCAAGTCAAATATGCTATCTAGCCGTCCTTTTTAGGATGTAATTTTTCTTTATTTGAAGCCTTACTCTGGCTCATGCCAGGGGCCGCAATATAGCCCGGCCATAAATATGGCCTAATGGCTGAACGCGGTTTCTAGGACCTCTCCACGGTGATCCTCATCCACATGGTAGCACTATGTGTCATCGGGTGTTTATCGCTTGTGTGATGACCTGGTGGAGTAAAAAGTCAGTCAGTCAGTCAGTCGTTGTGTGAGGTCTGGGCAAATTTCTATCTCCTGGCCCTTTATCAATACATGTTTAACAATGGTGTGGTGTTGCAGAGCGATCGTTCCCCTCCCCAAGCAAAAACTGAAACTTCACGTCTATAGTGCAGTATACTGACATGACCACGTCAGGATTTAGCAGAGCGTATATGAACAGGATGGGATTAGAATTTCTTTGCTAATGTTTCCTTCACTGACTTCATCCCACTGTCCAAGAGGAGATGTTTACAGTGAACCATAACACAAAACTTACAGAATAACTAGCCTTGAGCTTTATGAGAGAACTGATCAAACTTAGGGAAATCAATTAGAGAGAAAAAGACCCTAAAGCTAGATGATAGTCCACAAATACCATTTCCTCAATCGATGTATATTAACTATGTATTTGATCTGTTATCCCCAAAGTCGATGTGTGTTAACTGTTTATCCCATCTTTTACCCACACAATAGATTATGTTGACTGTTTATCATTTGTTATCCACACAGTTGATGTAAATCAACAGCTTATCTTATATATTACCCCCACAATCAATGTATGCAAACTGTTTATTTAATCTACTATCCCCACAATCGATGAATGTATGTTAACAGCTTATCTTATATATTATCCCCACAATCGATGTATCTATGTTAACAGCTTATCTTGTCTATTATCCCCACAATCGATGTATGTAAACTGGTTATTTGATTTATTATCCCCACAATCTGTTATCACCCAAAAATAACAATAAAGGACGAAGAAATTGAAAATGTCACGAGCTTTGAATATTTAGGTTCTATAATAAATAGCAATGGAGACTGTTTGACAGAAATTAAAAGGAGGATGACCATAGCAATGCAAAGATTAAACTGCCTTAAAAGTCTGTTAAGCACCAGCAAGGAGATCAAAATAATAATTTTAAGAGCATGCATCTTCCCGGCAGCAACATACGGATGTGAGTCGTGGACTATCTCCCAGTCCTTAAGAAAGAGAATAGGGGGTTTTGAGCTGAAATGCTATAGAAAGATTATCAGAATATCTTGGACAAAGAAGAGAAGAAATACTAACATTTTGAAAGATCTGAACAGCAAGGAAGACTGGCTAATAAACAGCATCTGTCTCGGAAGCTTCAATATTTTGGTCATTTCAAGCACTACGACGAATTGAAAAAAAAAAATATAGCAGAAGGCATGGTACCAGGAAAGAGGGGCAGGAGCCGACCAACACGAAGATGGGCACAGGATATAAGTGATTCCTTGAGAATGAAAGTACAAGAGGAGAGCTGGCCAGAGACCGAGTTTCGTTCAGGCAGATCGTGTTGAGAGCGACGTTCTGCAAAGGACCTGCTACACGATGAACCCAAAAATCGATGTATGTAAACTGTTTATTTGATCTACTATCCCCACAATCAATGTATGTAAACAGTTTGTTTGATATACTATCCCCACAATCGATGTATGTAAACTGTTCGTTTGATCTAGTATCCCCACAGTCGATCTATGTTTACTGTCTATTTGATCCACTATGTATGTTAACTGGTTATCTCTTCTACAACCCAACAGGGCAGCAGGAAAAACCAAGCCAGAACACAGCACCTTCCGCTCCCTCGGAATGACCTTAATGGGCTATCTCATGTCTAAAGTGTTCAGCTGTCTGATCCCTGACTACAGCCACATGTATGATACAGACCCAGTGACCTACTATGCGTTGTACTGTTCTTCTTTGCTTTTGTGTGTCCTTGGAAATGCACTGGGTTAGTCTGCTGTTTTTTGTGTATGTGCACTGCAAAATATTTACTTGTTCTTTAAAGGTTTAAGCTGAGAGTAACAGCTTCATAGCACTTCATCCAATATGGCCCGCCCCTTCCCACCCTCTATCTCTCTCTTCAGAGCGGCTAGCAGTCCCCCGAGAGAATCACATGAAGCACAGACTCCGCAACTGCAGCAACGATCCACATGGATCTCCATGCAACAAGTGTTTTAAAAAAAACTTGAATCAAACGAACACATGACATTCAGAGCGTGAGGCAGCATGCTTATCCCCTTTTCCTTTGCAAAGGCGGCCCCCGTATTCGTTTTCTAAAAGGCTTTTATACCCAAGAGGCATTTTGTTTTTATAGTCTATGGCACTAGTCATCATACCTCTACAAAGCTTCATGCTTCCTGCTCTCTGACACGGATGCTCCTCACAGATACGAACTTCTCTTTTAAATGCCGTACGTTTTTTAAAAATCTCAGACTGTCTTATCTTCACGTAGTCCATCAATTTCTCTCAGACTGTCCAGTCTTCACGAAGTCCATCAATTTCTCTCAGACTGTCTTATCTTCACGTAGTCCATCAATTTCCCTCAGACTGTACAGTCTTTACGTAGTCCATCAATTTCCCTCAGACTGTCCAGTCTTCACGTAGTCCATCAATTTCTCTCAGACTGTCTTATCTTCACTTAGTCCATCAATTTCCCTCAGAATGTCCAGTCGTCACGTAGTCCATCAATTTCCCTCAGACTATCCAGTCTTCACGTAGTCCATCAATTTCTTTCAGACTGTCCAGTCTTCACGTAGTCCATCAATTTCCCTCCCACTGTCATATCTTTACGGCGTCCACCAATTTCCCTCCCACTGTCATATTTTCACGCCTACCACTATTTTCCCTCAGACAGTCCTGTCTTCATGGCGTCCACTATTTCCCCTCACACTGTCCTTTCTTCACAGCGTCCACTATTCTCCCTCAGATAGTCCTGTCTGCACGGCGTCCACTATTTTCCCTCAGACAGTCCTGTCTTCACGGCGTCCACTATTTTCCCTCAGACAGTCCTGTCTTCACGGCGTAAACTATTTTCCCTCAGACAGTCCTGTCTTAACGGCGTCCACCAATTTCCCTCCCACTGTCCTGTCTTTACGGCGTCCACCAATTTTCCTCCCACTGTCCTGTCTTCACGGCGTCCACCAATTTCCCTCCCACTGTCCTGTCTTCACGGCGTCCACCAATTTCCCTCCCACTGTCCTGTCTTTACGGCGTCCACTAATTCCCTCACACTGTACTGTCTTCACAGCGTCCACAAATTTCCCTCACACTGTCCCGTCTTCACAGCGTCCACTAATTCCCTCACACTGTCCTGTCTTTACGGTGTCCACTAATTCCCTCACACTGTCCTGTCTTCCGGAGTCTTCCGTTGACGCTCCCAAAGTTTTTAAATAATATTCTGACGCCTGTGATCATCTCAACGTGAGAGTTAACCCTCGTTAACCACATCTTTACTGGGGAGCCGCCGTGATGTAGCGGCTAGATGCTCGCCTGCAAATCGGAAGTTCAGGGGTTTGGGTCTTGACGGTACAGACCCTTTTTTTAAACAAAACAAAAAACCCGTTTTGGCTCCCAGATCGACCCAGCCTTGATGTGGCACCGGTGGAGTCCTAGAGGTGTAAAGGCTGCCAGTGCGATGTCAGCCAATTTATCCACCATATACCGACTGGTCCATAGAATATTTGTCCAGCCATGCATGCCCAGTAGCCCTGAAAACGTGGAAGGGGTCCTTTTTACATCTTCATTTCTCTATTTAACGGGTCCATGCCTTGTTGACAATTCCCACACCGAAAACATATCTATACTTTCGCATATTTTCTCTATTAATCATCTGGGCTGTAATTTATACCACTGATTTTCTGACAACATTTAGTGAAATATGGTAAGCATCACTCGGAAAATGTAATTCAAATGCACTGACTTTAACAAAACATGCAAAAGTAAGTAAATCCACAATAATCCACATCTGCGCTTTAAAGCACAAATAGGTAGAATAAAATTTCTACTACATGACTGTAACGATCGATTGTAAGATCACAGCACACAAATCGGGTTTACTTCCCAGATTATTTCCTGGCTTCGACTTGTAGGTTAGATCTGCCAGTTTGCCCTGGTCAGTTCTTTTTAACATGACCAGATTTGTAGTAGACATGGCACTCTCTGGATAAAGTTTCAGTGTCAGAGTGTAAAAATAACCCGCAGAAGAATAGAACAGTAGGAGAAGAACGAAGGTGCGGATGAGACGAATGAGAAGGAGGAGCAGGTGGAGGAGGAAAAAGAAAAAGAAGAAGAAGAAGAAGAAGAAGAAGAAGAAAAAGAAGAAGAAGAAGAAGAAGAAGAAAAGAAGAAGAAGAAGAAGAAGAAAGAAGAAGAAGAAGAAGAAGAAAGAAGAAAGAAGAAGAAGAAGAAAGAAGAAGAGAAGAAGAAGAAGAAGAAGAAGAAGAAGAAGAAGAAGAAGAAGAAGAAGAAGAAGAAGAAAAGAAGAAGAAGAAGAAGAAGAAGAAGAAGAAGAAGAAGAAGAAGAAGAAGAAGAAGAAGAAGAAGAAGAAGAAGAAGAAGAAGAAGAAGAAGAAGAAGAAGAAGAAGAAGAAGAAGAAGAAGAAGAAGAAGAAGAAGCAGAGAAATAAGAGGGAGGAGAAGAAGAGGAAGATATAGAAAACAATAATGAAGATGATTATTAAGATAATGAAGTAGGTCATCATGAAGGTGATGATGAAGAAGTTGATGAAGAAGATGATGAAGATCAAGATGATGATGACGATAATGATAGAGATTAGGTCAAAGAAGAAGACGAAGTGCTGGCAATAAAAAGTGGGACTGAAGTATCTATTCTGTTACATTCTAAGCGAGTGATTTACACAGTGTCATAAGTTGAGACGATGGTGATAAACCATGTATCCATACATTATTAAATGAGGCCAGGATGTTGAACCGACACAGAGACCCATTTTTAACCTGGGGTGAGGATGTTTAACCTATACGTCCAAGCATAAGAAAACACTGATTTAAGACACAAAAAACTGTTGGGGCAAGTGGGAAATATCGGAATGTGAGACCTAGGAATGGGCATTATTAAATGTTCTAGAATTAAAAACCTCGTACAGAATCGAATACATTTTTATCATGGTATTGGCGGAGCAGGTCGACCCAGTCTAAAATGGGTACCAGGATGTGTGTCCTGGGAAAGTAAAAACGGTCGGCGTTATTCTGACCACATTACCCCCTCCCCTGGCCCCCTCCCATAGTGCCGATTTGTCTGTAAATATATGGGTGCTCTTCCCATATTCCCGATGCTCCTAAAGGCGTGAAAAGCGATCTTTACTCTAAATCTTACAGAATCTATTTCACCCACATAAGTGCTCATTGGCCTGTCTAGATGGTTTAACAGTGAACAGAAAGACGAAAAATTGGGGCATTAATTTGTAATAATTAAGCGTTGACATGACTGGGCCTTGTTTCTTTCTCAGGCATCTACCTTGTGGCAAATATTGGAGAGCTGAAATGTTCCTTCAAGTACATCCTCATCGTCTCTGCGTGCATCGTTCCAATTTTTGCCGACATAACAACATCGTTAAGCAGCTCCATAGGTTCTTGGATAATTGCAGCTACGGGACTAAAATGGCGATCCCCGCCACCGGATGAAGGCAAACAAGTCACTGGATTCAGAAGGAAGTTCTGGATACATGCTATTCTGTACACAGCAACCTGCGTGTTGTGGGTCTTAATGGTATCTGTTGCTTTTTATTTCAACGGGAAACTGGAGATACAAGGAGAGATGATGACAGGACAAGAAATTATCCACAGTGCTTATCATTCTGACGCTTGGCAGAAATTATCGGCCAGTTTGCACCAGTTGTACAGAACAGGAGTTTGGCCAATAGTACGAGAACTGACCGCCTCAATCACTATGGCAGAGAAAATCAAAGCCTACTGGGTAAGTATTTGAAATAAAAAAAGACAACAGAAATATTTTAATTAGACTTGGTTTTATTTAATTAAATGTTTGTTTTATATATTCTAATTGAACAATCAATAAGAGATAATTTTTGTCATGTTATTAGGGAATAACGTTATTGTTATTTTTTTTAAGAAAGAGAGAGAGAGAGAGAGAGAGAGAGAGAGAGAGAGAGAGAGAGAGAGAGAGAGAGAGAGAGAACGTGGGGCCTGGCGTGAGGGTAAATATGATGGGGAGGGGGGGGGGGGGGGGGGGGGGCCGGAAGCGCAGTTCTAGTTATGAGAAACGGCAGTTTTTATTTAATTATTAATTAACATAAAAACAGAAAAGACCGAATGCAAAGAGGGTTAAAAAAAAAAAGGGGGGGGGCGAGGTAGAAAGAAATACTTGTTACTTTTATGAGGAAATATAAACTTAAATATACGTTGACAATTAACAAATTGAATGGGAAACGAGCAAGAGGAGAACAAAGAAAGATTTGGTGTGACTAAGCCTCTTAAAACTCACTAGCATATAATCACCATAGATTTTTTTACTTGGGTATTTTCTTGGAAGGAAAGTCGACGAGGCTTGAAATGAGCCCTCCAACATCACAAGCCATGGTCTAGGTATGTGATGACCTAACTTTACTTTCTGCTTTGGAACTGCACTTGCCTGCTCCTTATCACACACATGCACTGTAGATCAAACTGTAAATCGTGTATTTCATACATACGATTCTCAGAATACCATCAGACAAAATGAACAGAAATAGTGACTTCCCTAAAGGTACAAAAATCAAGAAAAGTTGACTCATAAACAATATTTTATCTCAGAAACTGAAATGTTTTGGCCATATCAAGCACCAATGTAGAGTGGAAAGAACAGTAGCTAAGAACACGATATCAGAAAAGAGAAGCATAGTCGACCATCAAGAAAGTGAGCACAGAGTATATATAACAGACACTTGGATAACACACTGCACGAGGTCGGAGATGGACCGTGTTTCTAACAGGCAGGCTGCGCTCCACCCCTTTCCCCTCCCCAGTACGAACATGTGTGCTCAAACATAATACACATATATGCACACATACAAAATACATATGCATATTTCGAAACACTTTGAGTATGTCTTTCGATCAGAATGCTTGCTTGTTTTTTCTCGTTTCGCTAATAAGTGTGTATGTCACTCTGATTATCTGTCAGTATGCCTGTCGGTTTGTATCAGTGGTTGTCGTCTGATTGTGTTATAATTTCTGTTGCACATAACTGCGAGCCGTTTGTAACACAAATCCTGATGTTCTTCAACAGTTACTGGGCATCTCTCCCTGGACTAGTAGTGACGAGATCTCCAAGCGGTGCCGGAGACTTCTAGCGGAGAGCCATCCAGACCGATTCAAACGACAAGAGGAGAGAGACGAGGCGCAAACCAGATATGTGCAGGTCAACCACGCCTGCTCATACTTGACTGAGAGCCGCTCAAGGAAACTGCAGGAAGATCCCGAGTTGTGATGGCTTAGAATAATTGTAATGTCTGGTGTGTAGTTGTATCTGACTTCTTTAGTTGAATCCAGTGTTTGTAAATGTGAATGAATAAACTGCGTGCAAGTACGCGTGTAAATCCGTAAATCTTTCTATCAGACCATGTGTGTGTCAGTTGGCCTGTCTAAACTAAATAGAAGTAAATAGGAAAATATTATGAATCTGAACTAGTTAGGACATACAAGTCGTAATAGATTAAAGGACGAAACAGACTTATAAAAACAGGCTGCAGTTTAGCCCAACAACACAATCTTAACACAGAGTGACATTCAAGTTAGGCAGAGTGTGTCGGTAATGGATGGCTGGTGAAACAAAGGCATCCGTGCAACAACCAGTTAACTAATATTTACGCCCAGATGACACTATTTTACACACAGAATGACCTGTGATGAGGGGTTAAAACATACTGCGCTGGGTTTCAGTGTCAAGATAAAAGGACATTGTTTGTTGGAGAGCCTCGTGCATTAAGTCACACTATCCGGTATTAAATAAAGGTGAAAGAAGCAACACAAGCGCTTCAATGACTGGAGAACAGTACAACCGCTCATTATAACTGTACTAGCTAACATCCAATTCTTAGAGACCTGTTTCTGGTCATAGAGGGGCTCACATCAGTTAATTTAATTATACTTAGATCTGGGGCATATCATTGATTTTTGGATATTCTAGAGTGCAGAGTAATGAGCTGGAAGAAATATTGCTTCTGCTGCTCCTTGGGGCACGGCCTATTTTATGATTAAATAGACGAGGTGAAGGTTCTCTGTGATCATGAGGGTAATGCAGCGGAACAGTGTGTGGATGGTTTTTCGAAGCCAATAGGAAAAGATATGCGGGGCTTTTAATCGGGTGCGACTGGCGTCATTACAGCGTAGACTCTCCTTTGGCTACTGTGGAAGGGGACAGATCATGTGTGGGAATGCCTTGAGTGCAGTGTTGCCAATTTCTTTATTTATTTATTCCTAATGACTAAGAGACACACTTGGTAACAAAAGAAAGAACTGCACAGACTAGAGTCGAAAGTGGTTAAAGACAAGGACTGAAAACACCAATTGACGAAGATATTAGAGAACAAGTTTAAAAGTGATACTTGGTTTTATTTTTTAAAAATATATCTAGGAGGTGGGGGTGATTAAACAGAAAGGATAGACTTCTATATTTTGAAATATTTCGACTAAAGGCACAGAGTAAAATACATTACTAATGGTTTGAATTTACAAAGACAGGCCTATAAAATATCATGCGTTGTTAAAGATGAATGATTCCTTTGTATTTATTTTTTGCCAAATGGTGAATTGGGTGAACTGGTCTTTTTGAGTCAAATATGTTGCTTAGACAGTGACAAATTTGTGTTGCATATGAATATATTCTAATTGAATTCTTGGGATCCCCGATCTTTATAGCTGTCACTTAACTGACAGAAGCCAAAATATCGTAGCAAAGAGAGTGCAGCGACCAGCAGGGCTGCCAATCGACACAGTGCAAGTGTGGGTAGATCCTCTTGAAGTCACAGCATCTGTTGCTATTGATATAGACTGTCAGTCGACCCAGACCATCCGGATACCAAGATATTTGTTTGGTAGAAATGGCAGTAAGATTTTGACTATTGTACAAATCAACAGTTGACTGATTTCAAGTAGGATAACACGGCGAAAGAAGAAGCAGAAGAAGAAGAAGAAAAAGAAAAAGAAGAAGAAGAAGAAAAAGAAGAAGAAGAAGAAGAAGAAAAAGAAGAAGAAGAAGAAGAAGAAGAAGAAGAAGAAGAAGAAGAAGAAGAAGAAGAAGAAGAAGAAGAAGAAGACGAAAAAGTAGAAGAACAAGAAGACAAAGAAGAGAAAGAGGAAAAAAGAAGAGGAAGAAAAAGAAGCGACAGCAGCAGCAAAAAGAAGAAGAAGAAGAAAAAGAAGAAAAAGAAGAAAAAAGAACAAGAAGAAGAAAGAAGGAGAAGAAGAAGAAGAAGAAGAGGAAGAAGAAGAAGAAGAATAAGAAGAAGAGGATACTGGTAAGAATGATGATCATCATACAAAACATAGAAGAAAAGTTAGAAAGGTTGCGATAAACATAACCATTGTGACGAAGGAAAAGTAAAATCAAGATAAGGAGGCGTCGGATAATAACCAGAATTATGATTACATTTAAAAAAAAAAAAAATCAGATGTTAATGATGAATCAGTTGCTGTTATACACGATTCAGTTAGTATATTTCAAAAAAAAAAATAAATATTCGAAACATCATTTGTGTATCCCTATTAAACATAAAATATTTCTGAAGACGCCTTGATTACATTTGTAAAGATCACGAACCTGTTTGTGCACACCATAACTCTACAATATGTCACAAGCAAGGCGCCCGGAAGGATCGGAAACCGTGACTTTATGAACGTGAGCCCCACAACCCCTCCCCCCGCCTTGACCCCCATATAATTCTTAGCTTTACCCCTGTTCCTAAATGTTTAAGGGCATAAAGGCTAGCCTACACCTCACCCATCCATAAATATACTTGCATGTCTATTTCATCACAACTGGCATGACATTAGCCTGTAGCAAGTGGTTTGTGGGATGTCTCTCTCATCTAAGTTGGCCAGATATTACCCTGTACAAAGTACTTGTGGGATATCTCTCTCATCTCAAGTGCCCAGACATTACCCTGTAGAAAGTACTTGTGGGATATCTTTCTCATCACAAATGGCCAGATATTACCCTGTAGAAAGTACTTGTGGGATATCTTTCTCATCACAAATGGCCAGATATTACCCTGTAGAAAGTACTTGTGGGATATCTTTCTCATCTCAGTGGGCCGGATATTACACGGTAGCAAGTTATTTGTGGGATATTTTTCTCATCACAAATGGCCGGACATTACCCTGTAGCAAGTTATTTGTAGGATGTAGTGTGTCTCATTACAACTGATCGGACATTACCCAGCAGCACATTGCAGCAAATTATTTGCAGAGCGTCGCTCAAATCAAAACTGGCCGGAGATCCACCCTTTGGCCAGTTTTCCTGACTCATTCGTACTCATTTCCAGAATGTCTGTAATGCTCTCCAATTACCTTTCTACTGGTTTACGCATGCCTTTTTCTTCATGAGCCACTACTGTTCTAGTTGATTGCAATGTTTCGTATGTAATCGTTTTTAGTCATGCTGTTGTTTGTCTTTTTCTTCTTTTGTCACCACACTGATACCAGGCTGTACCCCAGTGTCGTGGTTTGTCGCCTCACTAATACCAGGCTGTATCCCAGTGTCGTGGTTTGTCGTTTCACTGATACCAGGCTGTATCCCAGTGTCGTATTTTGTCGCCTCACTGATACCAGGCTGTACCCCAGTGTCGTATTTTGTCGCCTCACTAATACCAGGCTGTATCCCAGTGTCGAGGTTTGTCGTTCCACTGATACCAGGCTGTATTCCAGTGTCGTGGTTTGTCGTTTCACTGATACCAGGCTGTAGCTCAATGTCGTGGTTTGTCGTTTCACTGATACCAGGCCGTAGCCCAATGTCGTGGTTTTGTCGTCTCACTGTTACCAGGCTGTAGCTCAATGTATTTATTTGTCGTCCACTGTTACCCGGCTGTAGCTCATGTCGTGTTTTCTTTATCCCC